ACATTTGATGGATAACCTGGTTGGCATAAATGACTTGAGAAAACACTTTCTGATATATACTTTACTTTTCTGAGCTGGAGCACACACTACTTCTGTTACCACAAGGTTTCCCGTCATCATTTACTTGGCTGGATTTTATCCTCAGGACACTTTTAGAAATGGGTTCAGGAATTCTGTACACATTCTCTGTGTTCTTTTAGTTTGAGACCAATACTATGTATGATCATCTTAATCTGAATAATTCCATGAATTAGCTTTCAGACAGTTCTGAATGATATCATAAAAGATGAAAAAGTCAGCACTTTTGTCATCTGAAAATTATGCATAATATTGAATTAGTTCTGCCTTTTCTTCCTTACCTATCATTTTTTTTCTACTCTGCCTTTCTAATTTCCATACATTTATTTACTAGCTTTTCTCAATTGTCTTCTAAGTCCTTTATTATATTCTGAACATTTTCTTTTTTTCTTTCTTTGTTGTTGTTTAAGAAAGCAGAATTCATTCAGAGGACAGAAAAGTTCCCACAGTGGGAGGGGACCTGAAGGGGTTGCCTGTCTTCTAAGTCCTTTATTATACTCTGAACACTTTCTTTGTATTCCTCCCATTGTGGCCTTCATTTTTTTGATTTTATTTTTTCTTATACTTTGTTACTGATATCACATCTTACTGTCTCTGAGCACTTGTATCTCAGTTTACATACTCATTCTACAGAGATGAGGGTTTTTATTATGTCTTTTCTCATGTTGCCATTTGGTCAGAATTTTCAATTACTACTTCATATTAAGTATTTTTACTACTATTAATTTCTCACATTCCTTACTTTCCTTTTTTCTGGTAATATCTTTGTATAAATTCTGTACTTGTTCCTTTTTAATAAATTACACATCACTATTTTTCTTGAACCAGCTATTCACAAGCAAGTTCTAATATTAAGAAAACCCAAGGTAGAGTCCAGATGCAAATGTTTTTTAAGCCTTTGCTTCTCTCCAACTGAGATTGGCAAAGTAGCACTACCCATAAGGGTGAATCTGTCAATACATTCCCTTTCATCACCCAAGTTCACAGGCACAAATATAGCCTATCTGTGAGATTCCTTGCTCATTTCTGCTTTCCCAGCTTCTCAAAATATTATGTCTACTATGGTATGTGCCATCAAGCTTATGATTCTGTTCTCACTGCTGCTAACAAAGAGTTTGGTTTTGCACCTCAAGACATACATAGCACTTACTTTAGAGAACTGTGCTCCACCGGCTTTATATTTTTAAAATCTGCAGGCAGGAGGATTGCTTAAGCCTAGGAGTTCAAGACCAGCCTAAGCAGCAGAGTGAGATCTCGTCTCTAGGAAAAATTTAAAAAGTAAGCAAGGCATGGTGGTATGCACCTGCAGTCTCAGCCACCTGAGAGGCTGAGGTGGAAACATCGTGTGAGCCTAAAAATTCAAGTTGAGTGTTGGCATGCCGATGTATTCCAGCCTGGGTGACAGAATGAGATCCCAACTCAAAAAAAAAAGAGAGCGAGAACGAGAGAGCGAGAGAGAGAGAGAAAGTTGTAGTTCTCTTTCTTTTTCTTGCTTCTTTTAGTTAATTCCTTTGTGTTAGCTCTTCACTTCAGAAATGCATGTTAGATTATCTTTTGTTTAGAAATTTATGATCTTTGTGCTTTTCCTTTGTTTTAACTATGACTATCCCTTGCTTTTACTCCAGGTCAGTAACATAGTTTTCAACTACGTACAAGCAGTTCTTTGTTGTTTTTCATTTAATTAAGCATAGAAATATATTGTTTTGCATAGAAATATATTGTTTTAAGTCTCAATTTGTTTCCTTAGCTCTACAATGTTTTTATATAATTTTATTGCTTTATTTTGGTTTTGAGTGCTAATTTTGTTGAATTCAATTTCTATTAAAGTATGAGTTACTCATGGCTTTTTTCTTTGATTGCTTTTGCCAGGGGGTTTGGCGAGGGGCACACTTCATCAATAAAGGTACCTGATCTCAAACAAGGCCAAGTGGGGACCAAAGTCAGGTCCAAATTTTATCTATACAATGACTATTTGTACTGGGCATTGTATTGGGTTCTTTGTTAGTCTTTTTCATGCTGTGTAACACCCTGCTTTTGTTTTCAGCAACACATCTGCCCACTGCTTTCTCTTTTATATTGTTCACATTTAACAGCATCAGCTCTGACCTGAACTTGATTTCTGTGTGTGTTGTGTACATTCCTCTCCTCGTGGATTTGACTGCAATCTGGAGTTCTAGTGTACTGTCTGATCTTTTGAAGCCTATGTGTTCAAGGAGAATGAAAGGTGAGAACTCTGCTGGAGCTGTGGGGAATTGCATATTTGACACTCACTGGTATCCCTTGCAATTTTAATAAGAAATATCAGGAATTTAGACCAACTTTATTTTCCCAGAAAGAATTCAGGATAGGATGAGAAGCAGACTTAAGTACCATGCTAAAATCTTTTGCTGTTATTTTTTTTTGGGGGGGGGGTGAGGAGACTGCTTAATGTTTATGACATAAAGTTGTACTTTCTCCTTCTTTTATTGCTGTTGATACATTTTTGCTCTTTTTACTGCCTATTATTTATTATTCATTTAGTCAGGACAAGAAAAATCCTATCATCTGGTTCCATTTTGCTGTCTACCTGAAAATTCATTTCAAGCTGATAGACTATTTCATACACAGAAAGGAATATATATATATATAGATTCTACTTACATCCCAATTTAAGAAACACAACTGTGTGAAACACTTTTGGTGATCTGTTTATCACTACACATACCAGTACCTATATCCCAGATGCATTTATATTCCTGATTTCATGTTCAGCATTATTGTGACTTCTTAAAAGTTAATTATACAAATTGGGTCATTCTTGTCATACCCAACCAAATCAGTGTCAAGAGGCCAGGGGGGAAAATTAAATTTTCCACAAGCCCGGATGCTGAAATTCTAAAACTAGCTTTATCTAGTAACAGCTGAAATGCTCACTATGACTCACTCTCAGACTAGTTTTACCTTCTCCTATCACTCAGCAATCAGACCTTGACGGCTCCAAAAAGCTTCATTAGTGCCAATGGATTTTCTTTTAGAACAATATACAACATTTCCCTTCCTAATAAAATTCTTTCTCTTTGTTCTTTGGACGTGCCAAAGGCCACCCCTGTCTGTGTTGTAGTTCTCTGATTCTCTAATAAAACATTTCACACAGAGATTTATCTCTGTATATTATGTTGACTTCAATAGCTTTCTTAAAACCATTTTTGAATCCCTAAACAATATATTATTCAGCTCTGTTTTGAACTTTATAAAAGTTGTATCATATTCTTTTAGCTGATGAATATAACCAAAACTCATATTTTCACTACTGTGTTGCATTTTATTATATAAAGTGCTAGTACAATGTTTCTATGTACATACCAAATGTTGGAATTGCTGGGTTTTAGGATATTCTTACCAGATAACATTTTTTCCCCTGTTCTAAAAATTCTTCTTTACCCCAAGGGCATATATTTTTTATTCTAAAAGTGTCAAAGTTTTATCTTTTAAAGTTAAGCCTTTAATGCTCCTGCAATTAATTGTTATAATCCACAAGTTTCCAGAGATATGTGGGTCTCCTTAAGGGTTATTTATTCTTGTCATCAGTCTATTTATCTCTGTTCACAAATATTACACTGTTGATGTTGATAACTGGCTAACGTAAATCCACCCCAAGTGGTTTTCCTCAGAACTGTCTTGAATGTTTCTCTTCTGTATAAATTCTAAAAGTGTCTTACCAAGTTCCCTTGGGGGAGAAAAACAGATAGAGATTTGATTGTCATTGAATTGATGCTACAAATCAATTTGGAGATGACTGAAATTTTTATTATATTGTTTTGTATACACGGATATCTCTCTCCATTTATTTAGGTACTCTTCAATGTAATTTAATAATTTTATTTTTTAAATTTTAATTTGTATTATGTATGTATACATAATAGCTGTACATATTTACAGGGTACATGTGGTATTCTGATACAAGCATACAATGTACAATGATCTAATATCCATCACCTCAAACAGTTATCATTTCTTTCATTTTGGAAATATTCCAAATCTTCTCCTTTGGACATGTCGAAATATACAATAAATCATTGTTAGCCACAGTTGCTCTACTATGCTATGGAACACTAGATCTTATTCCTTCTATCTAAACGTATTTTTCCCCTACTAACCAATCCCTTGTCATCCTGCCCTCTCCACTACTCTCCAGCCTTGGGTAACCACTATTCTGTTCATCACCACCATGAGATCAGTTTTTTCAGCTCCCACTTAAGCACATGCAACATGTGTCTTTCTGTGCCTGGCTTGTTTCCCTGAACATAATGTCCTCCGCTTCTATCCATGTTGCTGCAAATGAAATGATTTCATTCTTTTCTACGGCTGAGTAGTTTTGAGCTCTCTCTCTCTTTTTAGATTTGTTTGCAGGAAACTTATACTTTTGTTACTACCACATAAAGCATCTTTTTGTAAAATGATACTTTCCTGCCTTTTGTAGCTAGTGTAGAGAAATGCTACGGATTTTTAATATCTATATTGATCATCCATTCAAAAACTGTATTAGACTCTTACTTCTAGTCATTTACATGTGAACTGTTTTAATATGCTAGGTAGATAAAATATAAAATGTGAGTAATTACTCTTTTCTTTCTTCTTTCCCAGTTCATAAACCTTTTATTTTGTTTTTCTTGTCCTACCATGCTGGCCAGAAACTGCAGCACAATGCTGCACAGAAATGGGAGCGGAATTTTTTTTAAAAACTTAACTGTGGTTATAACTTCTCAAATAGCAATACGTATTTTAAATGAGTTCTCAACAGAAAGGACATTTCTTTCGGTAATTAAAAAAAGACCAGAGCCCTGATAAAAACATATCTAGAAAAGCACGCAGTTTATGCATTAATCAAGTCTTTGGGCCAATCTTAAAGAAACTTTTCCAACCAGCAAAGCAAGAAAGCCAACCTTCTTGTAGTAAACCAGGTCTCCCGTCAAGTAGCTGAGGTGGACGAACTCCATGTGCAGAGTCCCAAATTCAGCCAGAATGCTGCTGCCTGCAGAGGCCCAGCCCCAGTTCCGTCCTATTCCACTGAGTGAAAGGAAAGGTCAAAGGAGACAGGATTGAGAAAGGTCAAAACATTTTTTAAAAAGGATATGTACATTTTAAATAAATCTCTTAGAAATTATCATTGTATCTTAACACAGTAGCTTGTTTATATCTAAAACACTATTTTAAAATCTGAGTAGGTAATACATCCATGTTTTAAATACCAAAACAATATTTTCTGAATACTTCACCCATTCTCATCTCCTCCCTTCACCCCATCGGGCTCCACAGATAATCGCTTGTATTAGCTTCTTATGTATAAATACAGAATTTATTATGTACATGTAAGCTATCCAAATATACATTCTGAATTTCCTCCTTTCTTAAGCAAAATATAACAAACAACACTTACTACTTTGTCTCTTGCATTCGATTTAAAGATGTACTAGTGGTCTCTCTATTCACAAATTTCTCATTTTGGATTTTTACAACTGTACAAAATTCTATGATATTAATGATTCTCAGTTGGAATGTCCCATCACAGAGGCATATGAAAATGTGTAAGAACATTTTTTTAAATTTTCATATACTTGAGGGTACAAGTGTTGGTTTCTTGTATGCATATGTTACATAGTAAAGTCTGGACTTTTAGTGTACCCATCATCCAAATACTGATGAACACTGTACCCAACAGGTAATTTTTCAAATTGTCCCAAACCTTGAAGGTGCAGCTTTCATTTATTGTGTCAGGACCAAAGATGTAAACTGTCCTGGAATGGTCAGGACAGTACCATACAATAAACAACTGTCTTGCCTCAAATGCTGATAGTGCCTGTGTGAAAACTACTGCATTATATAAACAGACACAGTTTATTAATTGATAGTCCCTTAGGATATTTCTAATATTTTGTATTCATGAACATCTGTATAGTGAGTAATACTGTACACATTCCATTTGTGCAGATATAATCTTTTGAATATACTTTTGCCTTTTTTTTGGCCTGTCCTGTAATTTTTAAATTTGAAGCCAGACTAAATAAATGAAAAGGGCTTTAAATGATGTTAGCTTCCACAAGGGTTGAGTTTCTTCTGAAGCACAGGTTGACAACAGGCAGATTACCTTGGTTTTAGGATTTTAAAATAGCCTATTTCAGCAGGGTGCAGTGGCTCCCACCTGTAATCACAACTCTTTGGGAGGGCCAAGGTGGTAAGATCACTTGAGGCCAGGAGTTTGAGACCAACGTGGGCAACACAGAGACCTCATCTCTACAAAAAAATCAAAAAAAATGTAGCAGGGCATAGTAGTGCGTGCCTGTAGTCCCAACAACTCGGAAGGCTGAGGCCCAGGAGATGGAGGCTGTGATGAGCTGTGAATCTACGGAACTGTTAAGCTAATTTGGTAGTCCAGAAGATAAAATAATACGCTGGCACATAAGTGATATCAAAGAGAATATATTTACATTATATTAAAATATTTTATAAACCAGGCTTTAGCATTACAGGAAGTCTTTAACTATAAAAAAGTAACTTGTTTTTTGGGGTTTTTTTTGAGTTGGAGGCTCACTCTGTCACCCAGACTGGAGTGCAATGGCACGCTCCTGGCCACCACAGTCTCAACCTGCTGGGCTCCGGCGATCCTTCCACCTCAGCCTTCCAAGGAGACGGAAGTACAGGCACGTGCTGCCACGCCCGGCAAATTTTTGATTTATTGTAGAGATGAGGTCTCACCAAGTTGCCTGGGCAGGTCTCAAATCTGTGGACTCAGGCAATCCACTCACCTCGGCCTCCCAAAGCACTGGGATTACAGGCTGAGCCACTGAGCCCAGCCAAAAGTAGCTTTAAGGGCTACTGACAGATAATAAACTAGTCTGCAAGTAAAGTTGCAACGTAAGAATGGCGTTCTTACCACCTTCTTACCCATAAAAGATGCCAATTTTTTAAAAATTAAAAACTTCCTTGTTTAACAGATGAATGAAACAACTTTAATTTTTATTTTAATATAAAGTCTGGGTTTGTTACATTTCCATTTAATTTGGGGAATATGTCATACATACGATCTCACAATCATAAAGTACCAAAATGCATAAGGTAAAAATTCTCCCTATAAGCCCCGGAACCTCTTCCAATCATTTCCTAGTCCCAAAGCCAACTCTTATTGGATCCTCATCCACTCTTTAGGAAAATTTTATGCCTGTACAAACACAATTTGAATTGCTTAGTACATTTTAAATACCAATTGACCATTTGTACTTTTAATTCTATCTTTTCACAAGACTTTTTTTTTCTAAATATGTTTTCAAACTTAAGACTGTCCTTCAATTATAGGTTAATGTTATTTTTTGATGCTGCTTTTGTTTTTTATTACATAGTCTCTCAGTCAAATCTAGAAATTAGTTTATTTTTCTTTTTAAATGAGCAATACTGAGGTATAATTTACATACAAAAATACATCCATTCTAGTACATTTAAATGGGTTATTATATTGTGAAAACATAGGCATACAAACCAAGCCAGTCCCTACAGAACACGTCCTTATGCCTATTTGCAATCAGTCCACCAAGCTTTCTTCCACCAAGTCTCCAACAACTGTTAATCTTCTTTCTCTCACTATCAATTAGTCTTGCATGTTCTAGAATTTCACATAAATATCATACATAATATATTCCTATGTTTGCCTCTTTAATTCAACATAGTCTTTGAGATGAATCCTCATTGCTGAGTCTCAGCAGTTCCAATCTGTTACAGGCACATGGCATTCCATTGCATGAATATCACAACTAGTTACATATGCACATGTTGATAAATATTTCAGGTATTTATTTTGGGCTACTATGAATAAGGTCGCTATGAACCTGTGTATGAACATATATTTTTATTTATCTTGGGCACATAAATAACTTAGAAGTATAATTTCTAGGTCCTATACGAATTCTATTTTAGCTTTGGAAAAAACAAACTTTTCCAAAGCGACTGTGCCATTTTATATCCCACCAACATAAATCTACTATCTTGCTTTTTCATTTACTATTTTCTCCATCAATTCTTTTGTTCTCTGTTCCTACCTTCATTTATATGGGCTATTTTTTAGTATTTCATTTTCTGTGTTGGCTTATTTTAGTGCGACTGCTCTAGGGATTACCACAATAAACCACTAACTAACCACAGTATACCTTCACATATTATATCACTTCACATATAATATAAAGGCATTACAACAGTATGCTTTCACGATTCCATACCATCCCTTGTGCTACTGTGGTCATGTATTTTTATTCTACGTATATTGTAGACTCCACATGCAAGTTAATTATTTTTGCTGTAAACAAAGATCAAAACTGAAAAATAAACCTTTCATATTTATTCAAATATTTTCCTTTTCCAGTGCTCTTTGGTTCTTTGTATACTTCTGCCTTTCCACCTGCCGTCCTCAGGAATTTTCTTAAATATTTCTAGTAACAGAGGCCTACTGGCAATAAATCCCCTTAGACCTTAAAATGTCCTAATTTCACCTACATTTCTGAAGAATATTTTCAGTGGTGACAGAATCCTAGATTGACTTTTTTGACCCAGTACTTTCAAGATACATTTGACTGCTTTCTGGCTTGTACTGTTTATGATAAGAAGAAAGCGGCATTTCTAGCTTGTTCCCTTTTGTGTAAATGCCTTTTTTTCTCTGGCTGTTTTTAAGATTTTTCTTTTCATGGATTTTCAGATATTATGTTTCTTTATTTTTATCCTGCTGGGTTTCATCAATTGTTGGGATCTCTGGGTTTGTTTACAGTTGTTCAACAAATTTGGAAAATTTCTAGGTATCACTTCTTCAAAAACAGGCAAACCTCAGATATACTGCAGGCTCGGTTCCAGATGAACTGTCATAAATATGGCAACAAAGCAAGTCACACAAATTTTTGGTTTCCCAGTGCATACAAAAGTTATATCTGCACTCTACTGTATACTTTGAAGTGTGCCATAGCATTTTATCTAAATACACAATGTACATATTCTAATTTAAAGAATAACTTACTGCGAAAAAATGCCTACAGTCACTTAAGCCCTCAGCAACTCAAAACATTTTTGCTGCTGGAGGGCCTGCTTCAATGATAATGATTGCTGACTGATCAGGGTGATGGTTGCTAAAGGTTGGGGTGGTTGCGGTAATTTCTTAAAATAGCAGCACTTTACCCACAGTAGAACTGCTTTCAAAATTGGAGCCCGTCTTCTAAAAACTTGCCACTGCTTTGCTAACTAAGCTTATGCAATACTGTAATATCTCGCTGCCATTTCAACAACGCTCACATTGTCTTCATCGGGCGTAAATTCCGTCTCAAGAAACCACTTTCTTCACTTCTCCATAGGAAGCAACTCCTCATCCATTCCAGTTTTATCATAAAATCCCAGCAATTCAGTCACATCTTCAAGCTAAACTTCTAATTCTAGTTTTCTAGATATTCCAACACATCCACAGCTACTTCTCTGAATTCTTGAACCCCTCCAAAGTCATCCATTAGAGTTGGAATCCACTTCCTCCAAACCTCTGTTAATGTTAACATTTTGATTTCTTCTCATGAATCAACATTTTCTTAATGGCATCTAGACTGGTGAATCCTTTCCAGAAGGTTTTGCACTCACTTTGCCCAGATCCATCAGAGAAATCGCTACCCATGCCAACTATAGCCTTACAAAATGTATTCGTAACTAAGACTTGGAAGTCAAAATGACTCCTTGATCCATGAGCTACATGATGCATGCTGTTATCAGAGGGCATTAACCTCCTCATGAATCTTCATCATGGCTCTTGGATGACCAGGAACTGTCAATAAGCACTAATATCTTGAAAGAAATCTTTTTTTCTGAGCAGTAGGTCTCAACAGAGGGCTTAAAATATTCATTAAATCATGCCATAAATAGATGAACTTTATTGTTTCACTTACAGAAAACAGGCAGAGCATAATTCTTAAAGGCCCTGGGATTTTCAGAATGGTAAATGAGCAATGGTTTCACCTTAGAGTCACCAGTTGCATTAGCTCTTAACAAGAGTCAGCCAGGCCTTGAAAGCCAGACATTGACTTCTCCTCTCTAGCTTTCAAAATTCCAAATGACATCTTCTTCCAATAGAAGACTATTTTGTCTACATTGAAAAATCTCAATTTTGTCTGCATTGAAAACCTCAATTCTATGTTCCTTCTTATACTACAATAAATTTCAGATGGACAAAAGAATATTATTATTAAACTAAAAGATAAAAATTTTTGAAATTTGCAACATATGTGACAATGTACTAATATACCTAATATACAAAAAGATCTTATGTTCTAATTTTAAAATATCCAACAGAAAACAAAGGACATAAAAAAGTTGTCCACTGAATGAACTATGCCCAGCATCACCCAAAAATCAATAAAACAATAATTAAAGTAATATTTTACCTATATGATAAAAATAAACAGTATTTTCAAAATGTTAGATAAAAGCCATTCTCACAAGCTTATTATGAAAATATCAACTAGTATATTGTCTCTGGAAGTAAGTATCTATCAATACCAAAAAGGCATATAACTCTTTGATCCAGGATTTCTACCAGTGTCATACCAACACCTGTATATGCACATACACACAGACACATAATTCATTCTCAGCCTATGCAGGCTGTCTCTTCCAGCATTTTTTGAAGTAAAAAAACTGAAAGTAAACTAATCATTCATTACTAGGGACTAGTTTTAAATAACTTAAAGTAATTCAATAATAATGATGGTCTTAAGAAGAATGAAATAAATATATATAATGTGTTTATATGGAATAATTTTCAAGACCTATCACTAAATGAAAATGACAGGTCTAAAATCAATGCCCAATGTCTCTAGTGTAAGAAGCCAGAAAAGAACAAAATAACTCCAAGTAAGAAAAGGGAGGGCTAGGTGCAGTGGCTCACGTCTTTAATCCCAGCATTTTGGGAAGCCAAGGTGAGAGGGCTATCTGAGTCCAGGAGTTTGAGACTAGCCCAGGCAACTTGACGAAACCTCATCTCTACAATAAATGAAAAAATTAGTTGGGTGTGGTGGCGTGAGCCTGTTAATTCCAGTTACTTGGAAGGCTGAGGCAGAAGGATCGCCTGAGCCCAGCAGGTCAAGGCTGCAGTGACCGTGAGCATGCCACTGCACTCCAACCTGGACACAGAGTGAGACCCTGACTCAAAAAAAAAAAAAGGAAGGAAATAATAAAACAAAGCAGCAATCAACATAACAGAAAAGATAAATAGTGAATATTAACAAAAACTTAAGTACATTTTTGAAAAGATTAACAAAATTGATGAATGTCCAGTAAGATTGATAAAAAAGAGAACTAATACAAACTATCAGAATCAGGAATAAACAAGGGATTGTTATTACAGAATATAAAAACATGAAAGGTTTAAGAAAGTAACATGAACAACTTCACACCAAATTTGGTAAGTGAAATGGGGAAACTTCTTTAAAAGGTAGTTAGAGGTAAAACTGACACAAAATGTAAAATCTAACCTGAATAGTGTATGTGTATATATATACACAGACACAAGAAAAATTTAATTTGTTACCAAAAACCTTCCCACACAGGAAATTTCTAGTCCAGGTAGTCGCATAGGTGAATCTATCAAACATTTAAGAAATAAATAACAAGAGCAGATTATTTCAGGAAAAAACAATTTTAATAATACCTCATTTTATGAAGCCAGATAACTCATATGAAAACCTAACAAAGGCATCACAAAAAAGAAAAAATACTCCCATCAATATTCATCATAAACTCAATTACAAAAAGTATTTGGAAATCAAATGCAGCAAAATACAAAGAGAATAATACATTATGGCCAAGGAATAGCAAAAAAATTCAAGGTTGATTTAACATCTGAAAATCTTACAAGTAGTTTACCATATCAAAAAATAAAGGTGAAAAACCTTATGATTATTCCTATTGCTAAAGAAAAAGTATCTAGCAACATTAAATACTCATTCATGGTAAACAACCAGAACAACAAAAACTCTCCATGAAATAGGAATAGAAGTGAATTTCCTCAATCTGATAAAGGCAATTGATGCAATTAATGAAAATTCTACACCGGCATACTTGAATTTTTTTAAAGTCGTATTTAAAATGTTTTTATGGAAATCTAGAAGAATATCAAAAACATAAATGAAAAAATTTTTAACCACGATTATAACGCACAAGTTATAAAAAATATATTTGAATATTTAAAAGTTTAAAACTTACGAATCACTCTATAAAGCACTTTATAAGGTAATTAGAAAAAGACAAAGAAGGCTGGGCCCGGTGGCTCTTGCCTGTAATCCCAATACTTTGGGAACCTGAGGCAGGAGGACTGCTTGAGCCCAGGAGTTTGAGACCAGCCTGGGCAGCACAGCAAGACCACATTTGTATGAAAGGAAAAGAAAGGAAAGGAAAGGAAAAGAGAAGAAAGGAAAGGAAAGGAAAGGAAAGGAAAGGAAAGGAAAGGAAAGGAAAGGAAAGGAAAGGAAAGGAAAGGAAAGGAAACCCAAACAGCAATTAATATAGATAACTCACAAACAAGCAAATCTAAATGTTCAATAAATTTATGAAAAGAAGGGCAAAATTCACTAGTCAGAAAACACAGATTAAAATAACAATGAGTAACATTTCACAGCAACCAGCCTGTCAAAAACTTAAAAGAACTTATACCTGCAGACACTAAGATACTCTCACACAGTACTGGTGAAAATGTGATGTACTATAGCCTTTCTGGAACACATTTCGGCAGTGTCTATTACATTCAAAAATACATACCCTTTGATCCAGCAATCCCACAGCTGGGAATCTGTCCCACAGAAATAAAAAAGGCAGATGCCCTTTGATCTAGCAATCCTATTCTTGAGAAGCATTTCCAGAGAAATAAAATCCCCACTACAGAAGGACCTGTGTAACAGGATACTACTGGAGTCATGTTTGTGGTGGAAAAATAATGGAAACAAATACCATTGATATGGAAATGAATGAATAAATTATGGCATACCTAATCCCATGTCTCACTAGGTAGTCATCATGAAGACTGATTTAGAATTTTACTGGATGACTTAGAATTGTATTTCTATGAGGTATTGAGTGAGAAAGATAAGAAGCAGGAAGCAAGCCATTAAACCAAATAAACCACTACAAAAAGCTTTGCTTTTATTTCTATCTGCTGTATCATATTTTAGAAGATAAATATGCTAGACTGTTAAGACAGGCTGGCTTTCAGGCAGCAAGACTGGGAGAAGGTCTATGTGTGGGAAACAAGCAGACCTCAGCCAAAGAGGAAAAAGGAAAAGCATAACATTTAAAAACTAGATAAATAAATGTGTTTATGACACAAAAACTCAAGTAAAATGATATATTTCTTTAAATATATACAAAGAAACCAAATAAAAATTAAATTTATAAAACGCTCAAGACATGGTCTTTGAAAACCTTTCTACTTCAATCTCAATCTTAAATTCAAAGTTTTGCAATTTAAACTTCAAAGCTGTTTCCCTCTATGTAGACAAAAGAGAAAGAAAAGCCTCCAGTCTGTATTCTTGTCAGAATTAAGTTTTAATCATTTCTAAGAAAACTGTATGACTCTGACAGTGATACTAAAGGAAACATCAGAAGGTCTGCCATGAAACTAAGGAACCAGGACAGTATGTACACAACATTGCTTGCCACTTCCTTTCAAGGAGTTTACTCTGGAACTCCGGTCAGTTTTTTCCTCACAAAGGAGGTAATCTGCACTATATACAGTGCATGAAGCCACAGAATAGTAAAGTTAGATTTAATGCTAACTTCTCAACATAAATCTAAACTCTATAAAGTTCTTCATTAGGAAGAATTGACTAAAACAGATTAGTTTTTTTTTTTAATAACGTTGTTATGGATTCATACTTACAGATAAATAAATGCTCCTACTTTTTATTCTAAAGGTTTTAGGTACAGTGAGAATGCTCCTACCTTTTATTCTAAAGGTTTTAGGTACAGTGAGTCAAATTTTCATATAATTTCCAAGGTCTCAAGTACAAGGAGAAAAACAGTCAAGTTTTCATGCATTACAAACTCCAACATTACTAATAAATTTTACTAGTAAAAAAATGAGCAGCAAAAATTTCAGTCAGCACAAATTATTTAAATGCAAGTTAAAATACGTTGAAAGTATTCAAATTTTAATTGTATATATTTGCCTGATTTACAGTTATCCAAAGAAAACATTTCATCTATTTCTCATTAAAAAGCAATGTTTTCAATTAGAATGAAACATTGCAAAGAATGATATTTAAAGAGTTCACTTTGAATTTCAATAGTGTAGATACTATAATAAAAACCTTACGGTAAACATCATGAATTATGTTTTCCCTGATCATTAATAAGACATTCAGCAATAGGAATTAATATAGTTATCTGTATTAACATTTATAAGTTAATAAAGACAAGTTACAATATGCTAATTTCTAGACATAGTATCCTTTATTTTCACTTAGAAGATACTTCTAAAAGAAAAAAAGAGGGAAAGTACTTTGAATCCATTACAGCACTAAATGGAAGTGAATAAGAAAACAAACAAATATGTGCCACCATACAGGTGAGGAAGAGAAATCGAGACTTAGAGAAACAAGTAGGAGAAACTAGAATGAAGTTAAGACTGGTGACCTGTTTCTAAGTAAAGGATGTATTTTTAAAATCAGATAATGTTTTAAAGAAACATGCCTCTGCATACATACAGGAAAAAAAGTAATTCAAGTCTTAAAAAACACATTGAGGATGCATTACTAGAAATTTCTAAGACTAAAAAGTTAAAAAAAAAGTCAGTTAATTTAATTATTCCAGAACAGGAATAACCACAGAGAGTTTACCTTTTCAAATTCACCATTGCCCAAGGAATCCCAGTAGGTGTGTTGAAGGCAGGAAGGAGTTTCTGAGCCAACTGCACTGCTTTAACCTTGAATATCTGAGGTCAAAAACATGAACGTCCATGAATCACAGGCATTACTATGCATTTACTTCTTGTTCTCTCCCGTAATAGACACACCACAGTATACTGGGTACATGGAAGCACGGGGGCGGGGGGGAGGCACAAAGCATCTCACTAGTCCCACAGAGCATACAACATTCAGGAAAATGTTTGCAAATTGAATACTTAGGAAAGCTATCCAACATGCAAAGTTCTAAAACTATCATTAATTGAAAAGAAAGGATATGCTTTTGGTGTTGTTATTATCTGTTATTTCAGTTGGCAAAAAAAAATTAAGAGAAATTATTTGGCTATACAATTTTCATCCACGTTAAACTAGTTTAGTTCACAGATTAAAGAAAAAGAAAGATGTACCCCATTTTGGATAAATACCCTTGAATTACTGTAAACATGTTATACATCAACATTTTCTATCATGGTTTAACCACATTAAAAAAAGGAAAGAAAACATCTGAGTTCACATTCCAAGTTTACTTTGAATTATAAATGCTTCACCCATTGGTCCCAGTTGCTGCTTTTTTGGCATCCAAAACAATAAACTGCCTAACTAGCAATGGTTTTCAAACTTTTAAAATCATACACTATTATCATCATGTAGATGGTGAAATTTCTACATTTTTCTTAGCTATTCCAGTACATAGGTTTGTATTCTTCACTTCAGAGGTACTAACAACTCCAAACTGAGACTGGGTCATAATGTTCTACTAGGAAAAGTGGTGTATTCTATAATGCCTCAAGCCTATCCTCTCCCTCCCAAATAGATTCCAAGTTGATTGGTTATGGTTCTACCTTTTCACTGCCAAATACTTTGATAAAATATTAACAGATTTTTCTAAAATAATAAGTAGCTAAAGGTCTGGAACAGAGCAAAGTTTTGAGATGAGATTATACAAAACAAAGTCTGGCAACATTACTGGGGATAGCAAGTGTCAGAGAAGATTATGTACAAGTAGCCAAAGAAAAATGACGTTAAGCTGCCACAAGATTCCTTAAATAAGGCAAAAGTTATTAATACTTAGAAGTCTTAATTAGATATACTCATATATCTACTATTTACCATTTCCTTCAACTTCTACTTTAACATAACCCCCCAAAAATACACAACACATCTGCTCTACATAGAAAACTAATATTAAAAATATAAAATGACCCACAAATATCACCTTTTCTAAATAGAAAGCATTCTCATTTCACTTCAGAATTAACCAATAACATACTGCCTAATTTTCAACTACCTTGTATCATTAGTAACAATTAACATATATAGTAACCAGTTATAGTAGACAGGTCAAAAAGAAAACAACACTCTAATACCGCTGAGAAAAATGTCCTTATACAGTAAATTTGTTTTAATTTATTCACATATGCAAACTCTTTAATGATTATGGACTTACATTTTCTATTTTCAAAAACATATTTTGGTAGGCAACAGCAACAACTAATTTAAAACAAGTGAGTTTTTAGTATGCAATGCAGGAAAATAATACAAAATCCAAATTATACCAAAGAAAGAAAGAAGTCTCTTTTCTAGTTCTGATCTTTAGCCACACAATTCCTCAGCTTCTTTAATATCTAGTAAGTAGTTTGTGTTAAACCACTTCCATGGTATGTATGGCTCCTAGCCAGGCCACATCAAGTCTTCATTCCAAGCTCTCCCAGAAATAGAAATGCTGTTGCAGTACACAGGCACACAGAGTTACTATCTATTTGTCTCCATATATGTTTTACTAATTTACACTCCTACTAGCAATTTACAAGGGGTTGTTTCCCAGAATATTTGTTAACACAAAAGTGACTGCTACCGATCAGTCCATTATGTAAAATATTCCAGTTATTTTTTATCAGAACAAATTATAAGTAATGGAACTAAGCTAAAACCGGTCTTTAGAAGAGTTAGAACTAGAAGAATTGATCCTGGGCCCTGAGAAATGGAAGAAATAGAATTAAACAAATACAATGTGGCAAGATTATGAAAATCTTTAAATATAAGTAATGAAACTTAAGGCAGCATAATAGGCCACTGTAGATTCTTGCAGAGAGACGTGACATGAGAATGTAAGTATGCTTTTAATTTCCTATATTAGATTATTTATGTTACTACGGAAATATTTTTGTAGCCTATTCTCAACCTGGCAGTCAACGTGAGAATGTTAAACAGATTCCGAGCGTTTAGAAGCTTCAACTGGCTCCTATCTCATTCAGAATAAAAGCAACAGTCCTTAAAAATGGCACACACTTTTATCATGGATGGATCCCCATTACCTCTTGGTTTCACCCCCTCCTTTACACACACTGTCTCACATGCTCTTCTTCAACTCCACCACCCCCTTTGGTTTTTCACTGAGAATGCCAGTTATGCTTTTGCTTTGCCGTCTTTTCATTTGCTGTTTCTTCAACAAAATGTTCTTAGCAAAAATATCCTCACTCTCCTATCTCCTTCAGGTCTTTACACAAATGTTACCTCTGCATGGACTCCCTGACCATCCTATTTGAAACTTAAAACCCCTTATGCATCTTTCCTGCTTTATTTTTCTCGTTGATGCTTATCATGAACAATGTTTGCACAGTCACTTGGTAAAGCAGATGTGTTCCGAGAAATACGTCATCAAGCATGTACTCATACAAACCCAGAAGGTATGGCCTAGGCTACATGACATGGTCTATTGCTCCTAGGTTACAAACCTGCAGCATGTTACTATACTATAGGCAATTGAAACACAACCCTAATTTTCTGGCACAGCAGAAAAGTCACAGTGTAGTAGAAAAGATTAAAAAGTTACACCTGTATTGGGCAGTGACCAGGAACAGAGCTTACAAAACGGAAATTGCTCTGGGTGACTCAGGGAGCGAGTGGTGAATGACTATGAAAACCGACGAACACTCCTACAAACTTCACACACTTTGCACAATCAGGCTACACCGAATCTTCAAAAATTTCCTCAATTAACCTAAACTTATCGTGATTTTTTTACTTTATAAACTTTTTAATTTGCTTAATGTTTTGATGACACTCAGTTTAAAATATACACTGTATAGCTCTACAAAAACATTTTCTTTCCTTATATCCTTATTCTATAAGCTTTTATCTATTCATTTTGTCATCTTTCAATTTTTTGTTAAAAACTAAGATATAAACATACACATTAACTGAGGTCTACTCAGAGTCAGGATTATCAAAGTGTCAACAGTCGACAGGAAATTTTCAGCTCCATTAAAATCTTATGGAATCGCCGGGCTCGGTGGCTCAGCCTGTAATCCCGCGCCTTTGGGAGACTGAGGTGAGTGAATTGCCTGAGCTCGCGGGTTCGAGACCCACCTGGGCAGCAAGACCTCATCTCTACAATGAATCAAAAAATCCGCCGGGCGTGGTAGTGCGCGCCTGTAATTCCGGCTACTCGGAAGGCTGAGGCGGAAGGATCGCCGGAGCCCAGCAGGTCGAGGCTGCGGTGGCCGGGAGTGGCTGCTGCACTCCAGTCTGGGCGACTGAGTGACTCCAACTCAAAAAAAAAAAAAAAAATTTTATGGAATCACCATCATATATGCAGTTCATTACTGACCAAAACATCGTTATGCAGCACATTACTGGCAGCTATTTTATCTCACAGTTTAAAGATATTATCTAGTGTCTTCTGGCATCTAATGCTGCTGAGAATTCTGCTGTCAGCTGTTCCATTCTTTTGTAAGTAACAAGTCCTTTCTCTTTGGCAGCTTTTACTATTTCTTCTTTATTCTTGGTATCTTTTCAAATATTATCATTTATTTCTTTAAGCTCATCTCAGACGTTTACTAAATATTCTTTCAAACTTCTTGATGCATTTTCTCTCAATCCTTTTAAAATTTTCTTTGACTCTGTACTGCAGTTTGGATGAGTTTTTCAGTATCACCATGATCAGGAAGATGCTTAAAGGCTAGACTAGACATGCTTAAAGTTGTTCCTTAGGACCAGGTGAAGGTTTCTGTAAAACTGAGAGCTAACACACATTCACACATACCTTCCACTCAGAATGAGTCTGCAAATAGTAATTTTAAAACTCATAATGAAATCTAAGATTTCAATTTACTTGTAAGTTAACAAGTCAGACAAGTTAACAAGTTAACAAGTCTGCTGGCAGAAGACACAAGACTACTGGGTCACAGAAAAAGGCTTTATTTATGTAAAGTAGCAGCCAAAGTTTCAAGTTCATTTGCATTGATTATACAAGCCCATCTTCACCCCAATCCCACAGGGATAATGCACAGAGTTCATATGGGATGAATGCCTGTACTCACAAAACTCTTGATGACCTGGGTAAAGAGCTACCAGGGACTGTATTCTTGGTACACTCAGCATAAGCATGCAGGGACAATCCATGATGGATTGCTTTTCCAACCTTCCTGCAGCAGCAGCTGGGTCCACTTTGCAGTTTCCCAATACTTGCAGAACCAGCTTCCATCACCCTCAAGCCCCACCCCAAAGACAACACCAGTGGGTAAGCACACACTGTCATCAGGTCTGAGTGCCAGCTCTGCATGTCCTTTCTTCTTCAAGTCTGTAAGTTTTAGTAATTAAAACTTCTTCCCATATTCCCTCAGCCCCAGTTGCTTCCTGTAAGAGCCACTTCCATGATGACTTTAGAGTACTCTTTTAAATCTAACACTTGCCAGTTAACAGCTTTATGCCTAGTTAATAACTCGTTATATTAAATTCCCTCTGTTCAAATAACTGGACGGATTCTGTCTCCTGACTAGACCACTGAAAATAACCCACATTTTGTTATTATCTATTATAAATTATGTGCTTACTTTTTTAATAAAAAAAGAAATAAAACTGTTTAAATCATAAACAGTTCCTCTATCCTGAACTGAATATTGTTAATATTTTTGTATCTTTCTAGTCCCTTTTTTCTATATGTAAATACAATCAAGTAGCTGGAATTTTATTGTCTTTTGCTGTTACTGGCATAACAGAAGTTCCCTTTCCAATTTTAGAAGAGTGT